CAAGTAAACTGCACAATGCTAACGATGCTACATGCACAAACACACGGTGCATGATGCAGACATGCAGCGCTGTGAGGCCATAGCTTTTGTTTTCATTAGAGAACTTAAAGTTATCAGAACTTAATTTACCAGAAACTAATTGGTTCATTTTTGGATTTCAAAGTTTGTAAAAATGGCAATCCGTTAAACAAAAAGTTAGCTTGGCTATTAAATATTAGTGGATTAGCAGAACTGTGCCCACTGCTGCATAAACCCCTGAACAGGTTTAGCTAATAACAAAGACACTATTTGTTATTTAAATATGTTTTATTCCTGTCTGATTCTCTTAGTTTGAAGTTTAGCTGCTAAAGATGCTACATGCTACACACACGGGCCCTAACACGTCTAGAAGTGCTCGTAAGAGGGGATAGGTTTTATTTAATTTGGAATAAACARCATATAAATTGAAGATTTACACTTGTGAATGCTTTAGTAGACTTAAACTGAGCAAAACCTAACTTAGCATAAGGTAATCAGTCTGTTAACATTTTCAAAGTTAGCRAAAAAGCTAATTTGCTGCTGAGAAGCTAGTTCCGCTATTAGCGGTAGGCTATGTAAGATTTTGTAGATGGTAAGAGAAAATAATAATAAATAATAAAATAATAAAATGAATGTGTCTGAAGAATATTAGTGTTAGATTTAGTGGAGTAATTTATGTGTGTGTTCTGCTTGTTAATATGTATTTATTTAAAGCTTGAAAAATATCTTCAGCATTGTTTTAAACAGTTTTTAATGCACATAAACATGAGTAAAATTTCTGTTTAAATGTACGCTGTAGGTCGCTCACTCTCAGTCATTTGTGTGGGATTAAAACTGTTTAATGTTAACGGCCTGATGCATCGTTATGAATTTTTTATTTTTAACGGATATCTTCAGTAACTGTTGCTGACAGCACGCATTTAGCTCATTTGAAAGCAGCACATGTGGAAATTCAGATAAATATCCCACAGTTTGAGCCAGATTTTGTTTTGTGAATTATAAAACTCAAGATTCAATTAAACTTTTTTTTGTTGTTTTGAGACAAAGTGTCTGCGTTTAGGTTTAACATGCAAACCTTCACTATTCAAGTCCTAAAATAAAAATGGCTTTAAAGAGGTCGACTTTAACCAAATATTTTATCACTAATAGACTCTGACATCCAGTGCTGTTGGTTTAATAACCTCCACTTGGCATCAAGGTGAAGCACTTAAACTGTGCAAACAGAATTATGGAAATTTAATCACATCTTATTGCTGCATGGTTTATTTTATATTGAGCTCCTGGTGTGAAGCGCAGCAAATATTTACTGTAAAAAATGCTGATGTTTTAGGATTGTAGAAACTTTTTGTACTTTTTATTAAAAAGATAACGACACATAAGTTACATCCAAATCTTTTTTTAAGCATCTTGGGAAGATTTGTCTTTAAGATGAAGAAAAGTGATGTTTTTTAAAATATTTTTCCACAGAAACGTTTGTATTTTTTACTGGATGTTACACAGAAGAAGCTATTTTTGGGTATTCCTGTCTGAGGCTTTCTGCCATAACCAATAAATGTAAGCAGAGACCTGTGGGAACAAAATGGCTGAAGGCCAAGTTTGAAGTCAGAGGGGAGCAGTTTGTAGAGCGCACCGCACTCCGCCATGATCTTAATGAGTCGATGTGGAAAAAGAAAAGGTTTAATTTGCGCTCTGACGGCTCCACAATCTTCTGCCTCTGTGTGCATCTTTACAGTTTCTCTGCAACTCRATCAAGGCTGGTGCCTTTTTAAAACTTGATTTCTTAATTGGATCGTCGTTTTATTATGTTTTTCTGGCTGATTGGAGGCAAAAGAAGAGGATAGGTAATCATCAAATKGTAATTTACACCTGAACGCATCATAATGCGGTCGTTCCAACTGGCTTCCAGCAGCTTTGAAAGAAAGAAGTCTTCTGAATGAACAGAACTGACCAAGTTTTTCGCAATGTTTAAGTTTGCTGCAACTTCAAACACCCCCAGATTTATGCTCCCTGCTTTCTAAATATTATTTAGGACACACGCACACACACACACACACACACACACACACACA